AAGCACGGAGCCGAATTTGGCGGGGAAAATGAGGACCCGCCGGTTTTTGGCGGACCGAAAACCGGGTTTTTGGTACGCTCGGACCTGTGATACCACCTGATGGATGGCCCAGTTCTTACTGGGCCCATGTCTGGAAAGATCGCCTCGTACATTCGGCGACGTCATGGCGCCACCTAACCATCCAAACCTTCCCAAAGGATTGAATGAGATCATACGTCCTTTCAAGTATCACCCCACACGCAGCTCACACCTTCTATATATTCAATCCACCTCCCTCCCCTTCATTATGTCATTTTTGTCAAGTATCGAAAAATCGTTAACATCCACACAAATTCAAGGTCAGAAATAGTAAACCGCTCTTTCTTTCAACTTCCTCATATTCGAGCACAATAATAGCAAAGGAAGCAATTAAAACCACCAACATCACTATGAGCGACTGCGGGTGTTCATCGACCGGGACCTGCAACTGCCCTCAGGGGCAATGCACCTGCCCCAACTGCCCGGTGAGCATCACCGTTCTAAAACTACTCGGTGTTGAACTAAAGCTTCTCATGCTCTCTGATCCTTTCAGAAGCCGAAATAGAGTCTCCAACTTAGCTCAATGTCCAAGCTCGGCAATAGAAGCTCATCATGATTTGCAATGATACTCTAGTTGCCTCTATGTACGATTAGGAATTTGTTCCTTTTTGACGGTCATCATTTGCCGTTCCTGGCAGCTTGGCATTTCATCATACTGTTGGTTCAAGAGAACCTGAAAGTGATGGAGGTATATTTGACATTGGTTGTTTTTAAGTCATGTCATCAGAAACAGATGAAACAAGGGGTCGTGGAGAGAGATTGTACAAAAGCAAACATGTATTAACTATCAAGCATAAAGCTCTTTTTGGAAGTCTGGCTATGTTCAGTTCTACCGCTCTCGTTACTTCAGAGCATCTACATCCGTATATCGAATTTCAGAGTGAAACTGGAAGGATGCTGTGAGACACGGAGCAACCACGACCCGTAACACAAATGATTACTCGCCTGGCACAATAGGGTCAGGTTGTACTCTGCTACCAGGCTAGAGTCCCAAGGCACGGGAATGTCACATCGTGACTCAAATCCATATAACCAAAAGTATCCCAGTTGACATTGCCCCCTTGGACTATATCTTATACAGAGAGACAAATGTGTAATGCAGATCCCGGAAACCCTAACCCCCAAATTTTTCCCTTAACCATAATTTCTTAACGTTACACCTAATTTAGTACACGGACTAGATGTCGTCGTCCAGGATGGCAATCCCTTTCCCTCCCCCAGCAAACTCACGTTGATTCCCTTCACCACCACTATGAACGAGCAGAAGCAGAAGGGCCAATACCAATAGCAGCATTCCCCCCAACCACACCACCTCGGACCTTCTTCTCAACGTTCTTGACCCTCCTCCTCGCCCGGACCTGCACCCGCCGGTACTTGGTATACAGCGAGAAGGCGTCACGGAGCACCACAAACAGGCACCCGCCGATCAGGCTGCGGCCCCACCGCTCCTGCAGCAGACCCGTGGGCGGCCGGCGCCAGGAAGGGCGCGTCACCCAGGCCCTGGGCACGACGGCGCGGATCAGCTCGCCCATGCCGTACGATATGGCGGGGAACAGGAGGGATGTGGCGACGCTGTTGATGATGCGAGTGACGGTCGAGACTCCGATAGGGGCGTCGTTGTAGCCGTCATCGGGCTGGTTTTGGTTGTTATTGTTGTCGTCGTTGTTGTTGTTGTTGTTGTTGTTGTTGTTGTTGTTGTTGTTGTTGTTGTTGTTGTTGTTGTTGTTGTTGTTGTTGTTGTTGTTGTTGTTGTTGT